TTTTAAACAAAAAAAATAAAAACTTCAAAAGATTTACCTACTTAATCTACTAAATCATGACTTGTGTACTTTTGGTAAAATGAGTGAGGGTTGATATGCAGACTTTGAGGAGCTCCTCGAGAAGAAACAGTGTAGATTTTACTTTTTGGTAAAGTGCCCATACTCTATTCATGTAATTTTTTTTCCCACCTAATGCCACTCTGCTATGATAATCAAAGGTAAAGATGTTAATCGGGCTAGTCCTAGCGTTTCGGGCTAGCCATAGCGGGCTTCGGCCTAAACGGTCCGGGCTTAAAAAGCCCGAATTTAAACGGGCTACCAAAAAAAGGACCTAACCCTAATCTACAAAATTGTTAATAATTATCTTTCAAAATCATAATAATCCATTACAACTCATACTTACATGTGAAGTAGAATACCAAAATTGTAATATACAAGAAATCTAAGAGCATATTACTTAATGCAAACATTTACACTGGCCACCCTAGTTAAACGGGCCAGCTCTAGCGGGCTTCGGGCTAAACGGTTCGGGCCTAAAAATCCCGGATTTAAACGGGCTACTAATAAAAGGACCTAACCCTATTTTTTTCCGGACTAAATGGGCCGGCCCGTCAGGCCAAGGACCATTTAACATCTTTAATCAAAGGCATGGGCAGACGTTGAATGCACTATTGTTGATTGTACCGTAGAGCCTATTTTTTTTCGTTGTGGGCCAATTTTATAACTACAGAATGTCTGAAAGATAGGCCCATCTACTTTAATTATTAAATGGGCCGCATATAATGTCAAGTCGAAATTTTTTTGGCCCACCTATAGGTATTGCAAATTGTGCATTTATTATTTTGGACCGAATAGTATGGCCAGCATTATCGGCGTTTAAGGGCTATATGTTTTTTTTTTTTTTTTTTTTTTCGAAACGACAGATATTATAACTCAAAAGAATATTTACATTGTTCGGGTCTATCAATCCCAAATGCCACAAAGCATGAAGAAGGATACAACAAATTCTTATAACTAGTGAATATAGAGAGTGGATTTTAACATTGGCTAAGTCTAACTGTTTCTGCTTCAGATCTAAATGCGTTTTGAAACACCCACAAATTGCGGGTCTTCCACATCCATCTCAAAAGATAGCATGATAGTTGCAATCTGTCTTCCATGATAGGCTTGTGGGATGCAGTACAGAGTGTGAACCACCAATTTTTGAAATGATTTGTGTGATGCTGAATTCCCTCCCATGAAAGAGGGGCTAGTTTCCAAATGAGCTTTGCCCTGTGACATCTGAAGAGTAAATGCTCATGTGTTTCATTTTCTTCCCCAGATATCTTACAGGTTTGGTCAACTTGTAAGCCTTTGGCACTCAGGTCGTGAAGGACTGGTAGTGTGCTGTTGCTAGCTCTCCAGAGAAAGTGTTTGACTTTGTTCTTGATTCTGAGTCTCCAGAGTCTTTGCCTTGCTTTCTTGTCCTCCTTCTGATTAGCACTTGATTCAGCCATATCCATCTTCCTCCACTGTTTAGCAATGAGTTGTGAGTATGTTGAAGAGACTGAGAATTTGCCATTTTTATTCCACTCCCAGGTTAGGCTGTCACTGCTATGTGGGTCAAGGCCTTCAATGTCTAAAATGGCTGCTGCTGTGTTAGGTGTAAAAATCCTCTCGATCAGACTTCTATTCCATCTCCACCCTGATTCAGCCAAGAGGTCTTTTACGTGTTTAAGCTCTGAGTTCTGGCCTTGTTCTTTGAAGACCTGCAGGCTAGGATAGTTTGGAACCCAAGGTTGTTTCCAAATTTTCACTGAGTTACCATCTCTGACTTGAAATCTGACTCCTTCCTTGTATTCATCCTTCAGCTTCCACTAGCTGAAGGTAATCTATCTATCTATTGTGTTATTAGTAGGTAATCTATATATATATATATATATATATATATAATTGCCGGCAAGTTTCAATAAATTTTATTCAGCCAGCAATTAATAATAATATGAGTTTATTTAATGAAAATAAGTGTTCATTTAATAAAAATATGTTCACCATTTAATAAAAAATATGTAACTTTTAGTTACAAAATTTATTTTGACAGGTCTCATTTTGGAATGTGCTCATTTCTGTAACGTCTTTTTATGTCTTGAGATATAAAATATTTTTATTTTTATTTTGATACTACATATTTTTTGATATTGTATAAATACATATTTCACAACTAATTGAGAATGACTACAAATATCTCTATTTTCTATTCCAGTAATACAACAATAAAAAATTTTTTTTTTTGAATATTACAAAGATATAATGAAAACTCAAATCCTAGAGTTACGAGTCGAAGGAGTTTAACGATAACAATTTGTTGTGATGGGGATTCTGACGATAAGAAAACCACAAATGCTGTATATAAAGACTTTTTTAATAATATTTAAATTTATTTTTTTAAATTATTTTTTTCTCATTTATTAAGTTATGACTTTTATTCTATTCAATATTTTTAATTACTTTCACTTTTATTATATCGTTTTTCGTGTAAATGCACGTGGTTAAATTAGTGTGGTGTAACTTTAGTTTGTTAGACATTCTAGTGTAAGCAAACAGTAACCTTGCATCTGTATTCTTTTTTCCCTAATTTAATGTGCTGCTTAGAGTAACTGTCAATGATTATGAGATAGTAACTAAAAAATAATTCGAATTCCCGCTAAAAAATATACTAAATATAGTAACTTTCTTTTGAAATTTTTCATTTGCCGGTTTAAATGGATGCTTTGATTTTTTTGAAAATTTTCATGTGCCCGTGTTAGTGGATGCTTTGATTTGACAATTTTGTTGCCAATTTGATTGCTAAACTAGATTTTTCATGTGCCCGATTTTGTGGACACTTTCCACATGATAGACATTAAAACTTTAAACTCTTATCAAAGCATTAGTAGATAATATTTTAAATTTTCGTGTGGAGAGTTAATAGGGCACTCCCCCGATTTAGTGGATGCTTTGATTTTTTTTAAAATTTTCATGTGCCCATGTTAGTGGATTTGATATGGTATATTAGTAGATATTATTTAAAAATAGCATTAATGGCTATCATAATTTGCCAACTAACAATGCCATGATAAATATTAGCTAATATACTAATAATTGAAATTTAAGAAATATAGTTTATAAGATAAAATTTAAAACCCCGTTCATGTGTTAATCATGTTGATATTAGTGAAATAAATAGAATATTATTTGATAAGAGTTTGTCCCATTAATGTCTATCATGTAGATATTTGTTTTCACAAATCTCTTATGCATATCGTGTTTTTTTTTTAATAATCTATTACCATATAATATAGTTAAGAAAAAATCATGAAAAAATTGAAAATTAATTGTCATTTTTCCCCCTCAAATTTTATTTGAAATATTTGGCTAATGTTTTAGATAGTAATAGATTTGGCATATATCGGATTTGAAATTCCATTTTTTTTTTTAGCGAAATCCGATTTTTATTTTTGGAACTGATTATGTATATCGATATTTTAAGATGGAACAAATATTTGTTAACTTCCATAAACAAAAGTAAAATTATCTTCATTATCTAATAAAAAAATGAACATTATTCATAGCCCTATTTTTTTTCTTATCTTTACCGTATCCTCCTCCTCTTTTTTTGCTCTCTCTTCTTCTTCCCTTAGTTCTTCGTCCTTCCATTGCAGACCAAAATTACCAAATTCTTCATCTTCCTTCCTGATTTCTTCATCTCATTCGTTTCTTTTCCTCACGCCCAATGCAAAAGCCCCCAATCTCTGAGAAGACGAGGTCGTGCGCCTGCCGACATCCACAACTCTCGCCGGCATCACAGGGACGAAAAAAGGCCAGAGCGAGGATGAGGCACGTGTCGAAGATCGACGGACGGCTAACAACGGCTGATAAAGGATCGTTGGCAGAGAGCATTGCGGCTGTGGAGCAGCACTATACGGCGGAGCCCTGTGGTTGTAGAGTCGGTGAAACCCCACAACTCCAACGACCGTGATTCAGGTGATGGCGAATTGGAGTCGTGAGCGGCTGTCGGGGCGCTGTCGGCTTGGATGGGGTGGATGGAGACAGAGTATCACAACGAAGGGTCCGTCGCCTCGGCATTTATAGTTTCTGGGGTAATGTTTTATTACTGTATTTAGTGCCTTTTATTTTGTTAGAATAACAATAATTTTACTTTGTGGTGGGGCTGCAGAGGTTGGCGGTGCCGAACTGTGTTGCGATATGTTTGGAGTGGTGGCAGTATGATATTTAGACGGTGCTGGCCGGTTACCTGTCGGAGCCGAAGCTGGCGACGGAAGCCACCGAGATTATGATACACACAACAATACTAATGTATATTATGCCGATGACCCTGGCGGGTTGTGTCTCCGCCTGAGTATTCGTGCGGTTTTAGCTTAATTAGAAGCATAAAACCCAGTTAGTCTGTTTTTTTTTTTTATTATTATTATTTGTAAAGTTAATGATGATTGATATTTTCTTATGTGCTTTGGATATTATTGAAGTGTGACTGTGAAAGTTGATGTTCTATACTGGAGTTCATAGCTATATTTACATGCAAATTGCATTTATGTGCAAGTTGAACTACTGAGCAAGGCAATATATCTACCTTATGTATATTGCGCTAATGGACTTGGGTGCTTGTGTTTAGGCTCGAGTGAGTTTCTTGGTTTTCAGTTAGTTTAACATGAATGATATTGTGGTTATTGGAGTTTAACATGAATGATATTGTGGCCTGTGAAAGTTGATATGGTTAGCCCTGCTGCATTTGTTCTATATTGGAGTTTATGTGTATGTTTTCATGCAAATTGCATCTACGTGGAAGTTGAATTGCTCGAACAATTGCAATACATCTACCTGTTAGTTTCAATCTTTGGATGAACTTGAGGATGAGATAATTGAGTTGTTATTTTGATTGACTCCGATCAGGGGAATCACGGGAGACTACAGAGGGGGTGGTTTTGTAGCGCCCTGCTCGATTTATAGAATTTCTCGGGTTATTCTATTTATTGAATTTTATTTATCGGATTTTACTTTTTATTTTGGTTGTGATGTCGTCAATATTTGGTACTTCAATTATATACTTAAGTACTGGATCGTTTTATTGTAAAACGTTCGTCGTTCGGCGATTTCGGTTTAATCGCGTAAACCAAATTTAACCCGTTCGAATATTATTATTATGTGAATTAATTGCCTAAGTGAGAATATTGCTTGATTTATATATATATTATTATGTGAAATTGATTGTGTGTTTATATATTATTTGAGGAAATAATATATATATATATATAAATGTATTGTGGTCGGTTGATTTATTTTATTTTTCCGAGAGCCGTTCAAATTTTCGGATTTATCAAACTGAGAAACTATTGGTCGAGCCTTGGAGACCCCGTATACCCACGGCCCGCGCCATGCGCCTGCCTGGGCCCGCCTTTCTCTTTACTTGTTTGTCAAGTTTGTGACCTAGGCTAATATATATGTTTCACCCTTTCTCTTTTTCTTTTTCACGTGAACCCTCATCCCCTCTCCTCAGCCGTCACCCTACCAAACCCTCCTCTCTCTCAAAAGTTTCGAACGCCGCTCCTTGGCCTTTCGGCTGTCGTGAGCAATCACCATGTATCGCCGGCGAACCCCTCCTCGGGCAGCATATCCCTGACGAACGTTCCACGAGCCACGATCATCCAAGCAGCAACGATCGAGCCCCTCCCCTCCGCTGTTCGTAGACCTTGCCGTCGCGAGCATCGCCATGCACCGCCGGCGTTCCGTCCTCTCGCGCGCATACAAATCGAACGTGCCCCCTCACGCAACACGACCCAGTTTTCTTTCCTTGCGCGACCCTCCAAAAGCACTCAACCTCTGTTCGTGTGAGTCTAGGCCAGCAAGGACCATCCCTTCCTCATTCGCGACCCACCGGAGGCCAGCCGCGAGCCGAGCGAAGCCGCCGAGCCCAACCGCGCACGCAAACGAGTCTTGTGTCGCCTACTTGACCCGTTTTCTCGTCTCCCCTTCGGAATACGGTAATGGGTGGCTTCCCTAGAATTATATTTTGATGTGAATATGTGTATAAGTGCTGCCATGGTGATTATATGTGATTTGTGTATTTTGTGTTTATGTATAAATGCCCAATTGTGTTTGTCTCTTCGGTTTAATGTCGAATCTGAAGGACATATGTGAAAATCATGGAAATCCTAGAGTTATAGGTAACTTGGAGTGTCTTTGATCTGTTAGTTCAAGCCTTCGGTCGTTTTGATGTTTGTGCTTTGAGTTATGAATTTTCTTAGTTGATCGTGCTGTTGTACTTTGTTAAAATCATGAAAATTCGAGTTCGGATAATTTTAATGTGAATTTTTGATAAGTTGGTCCTCTGATGTTGAAGTTTATGTGGTAAAAATTCCAGGTCCAAATTCGAAGTATATCTATATGAAGTGTCAATTTGAAGTTCTAGGTTGATTCTTAAAAAATCTATATAAAATTGTATGTTGCTTCAAATGAGTTGAATATTTGATATGTTGCTGTTCTCTGGGCATTACTGCTTGTGTCAACATTTCACTTTAAAATTCAAAGGTTTGACTGGAGAACTACGAATTTCACTTTATAGCTGTTATTTTGCAAAAATTTTCTTTGGGTTAAAATGATTTTTAAGGAATGATCTCTGGTGTAATTGTGTGTTTTTGGGTGTATTTTTATGTGTAAAAATTTCATTGGAATCGGTCGAGTCGATTTTAAAAAGGTTTGGATGATATATCCAACCGGTCAGCTGTCCAGGGCCTGCCAGGGCCACCTGCCCGTGCCTGTCCGCGCCCAGGCCCGTTCCAGTGCCCCGGCGCACCCAACCGAGCCCCGTTTTGGCTTTTTTCCTGACCCGTTTGATTTCCTTGTGACCCATCACTTTGTTTTACATGCTTAATGTGTTCTAAATGACATTTAATTGGTTTTTCGAGTCTAGTAGTCTATTCCAAAGTTTTCAAACTCCACTAAAGGGCCCACGAATCACTTAGTCGATAATGTCCGGCTAAGTGAATGTGTTGTAAATGGCTTTAAGTGTCGCAATAGTTGTTGATAGGACTATTCTTGATGAATGTAGGTGTTTGACGAGTCGTGCTCTCATCCTACCAGCTTTTGTGTGTTACCTGCTACTTTAGTATCCAAGTGGGTTTATTTAAATTGCTATGCGGTAAATTGATGTTAAATGTATGGTATGATCAATGTATGCATGTGAACCATGTAGCCTTCGATGTCTGTTGTACCGGCCGTCGAACGGTTGTCCTCGTAGCTATAGAACGGACCCCGTTGGGGTAATCTTCTCTTTACGTCCTTTGCGAAGGACACGTCATCTGTAAGACCAGGGAATGGATCCTCGGCTGGTGATCAGTAACTTGATGTAAGTCCAAGGCAGAAACATTGGCCGTCTGGGAAGACTACTACTGTTAGGGCATCGTTATAAGGCCTAAGCGAAGGCATACGATACGTAGACCAGCAGTAGTCTATGCGTAGGTGTGCACACGAGAATGAACTTGGGATAGGAGATGGGATAGTTAATTGATTCGTATACATGCTGTGACCATACCTGTCATATATTATTTGTTATTTATGTGAATAGTGGTGAGCACCACGGATTCCATATTGTGCTCATCGCCACTTTTTCTTTCCAGAGTGATGCAGGTTAAGCAGGTTGCGGGCACGGCGAGCCGAGGCGAGTGGTGGTCGGTCTAGATGACTAGACCATTGTTTGTGTTGCTTCCGCATTACTTGTGTTTATTTATGACTTGGGATATTTATGAACTTTGGATAATTATGTTTTGAAACACTCATTAGGGAGATGCCCCTTGACATTATGATGTCTTTACTTTGGAACTTGGAAACCCGGTTTGGGTGTTTGTTGACTTTGGATGACACCCTTGATGGGTGTTGATTTATGTTTGGTGTCATTGCTATGACTTTATTTATGAAAATGACATTGGAATAAATGAGTAACATCACAAATGTATGAAATGAATTTTGAAAAAATTAATTTGATTTTTCTGAAAAGCCATGGATGTTCTTTAAATCATAGTGGGGGCGTTACAAAGTGGTATCATAGCAGGTCTGCATTTCATAGATTGCTATATGTGAATTTTGTGGACTCCGTGAAATATTTGAATATCATGCATATGATACGATTATCACCACTCTCTTTCGTCGTGCCGCGCCAGCTTAGGTATGATTACATAAGTGATATCGAATTGCTTGTGATGTGAATTGATGTGTTATGATATTTTGGGGCTTAGAAATTACCCTCCGTATGTATGGACTTGAACTCTAGTGGTATAGTGTTAAGTTATGACTTTAGAAGCTCCTTGTTGTGAGTTTTCGGTATGGCATTATCGAGTGGAGTGTCTATAGTAGTTTTCTATCTATAAGATTATGTTCAGTGTCTTCGAGTGAGGACCATTCGCAAGCTATCTCGAAAGAGAAGGATTTAGGAACCGGGTAAGTCATTTGTGTGTGGGATTACTCAGAGAACTTGAACCACAGTCGGTAGGACCATGAAATGTGTGTTAGTATCTAGTCAATGAGGACCAGGAGTAGCCTCTAGATGCCATGTTCATGTTGTTGTTCGACCTCCAAGAGGTTGTGGAGGGTCGGATACGTATCACTGTCGCGACTCTCTAGAACGGCTACGCCTCGAGAAGGACAATATTTATCAATCCTTCTGCGAACAATTCTCACCTTGCCATCCTACGTACACGATGAAAAGGCCTGTTAAGCCCACTCCGCCAGTTATGAGTGTATCCTTCGCTCTGCCTTTCAGCAACTAGCTCTATGCATTTCCTTGGGAAAAAAATGCCGATTTCCTTTCTAAATGTGCAATAGTAGCTTGAGCCTGGAGAAGTACGGTGATCCTTGAAAAAATGTTTTCTTATGAGAAAAGCTAGCCCAAATCCAATCTGTATTCCATTGCAGAATGTTTTTCCTCTTCTTTTTTTGTTATGGGATTTTTCATCACTTTTTATGTCTGTCTTTCCCCTTCCAAAAAAGGGTTAAAAACCCTATAACATATATAGAACAAACAAAAAATAAAAAAAAAAGTAGAAAGCTCGTATCAAACGAATACACAAAAAACGAAATACTCGTAGCACTTGGTGGGCTTCATTGTTGGATCACTGAGATTCTCTTTTTCCCCGGGCTGGAAAAAGAAACACCAAGCTGGAATTTAAATCAGAAATAGCCATTATGGAAGAAGCGGGCGGAGTTAATAATATTAATAAATAGCATCTATCACTGGCACTGGAGAGAAGATCTGTTTTCTATCATGCTACTTTCCTCTGTCCCTTGGGATGAGTCAACTTGCTCGATGTTTTCTTGCTCTTTTCAGGAATAGAATCAGAAGCTGCTTGA